GCTCAGGAACAGAGTCTGCTTCTCGTGAGTCCAGCTCAGCCGGCTTCTTGTCAAGTGTCGTTCGGGGAGGGGGAAGCAGGATGTGCAGCAGCATGGGCCATTCCTGGTGGACCCTGCCAGAGGAATGCCGTGGGCTCTGTTGTGTCCCGGGGGCTAACCTGGCCTTCCTTCCCTTCCAGAACCTGACTGTCAAGGCTGTCGTGTTATGACGACCCCCAATAAAGGAAACAAGGCCTTGAAGGTAACGCAGCGGGTGGAGGAAAGGGGCGTGGGGGCAGGTGTAGGCATCTGCCCCAAATGTCACACGCGTGTGCTGCTTTCTCTCCCAGGTGAAGCGGGAGCCAGGCGAGAATGGGACCAGCTTGACAGATGAGGAGCTGGTGACCATGTCCGTGCGGGAGCTGAACCAGCATCTACGGGGCCTGTCGAAGGAGGAGATCATCCAGCTGAAGCAGCGTCGGCGCACACTGAAGAACCGGGGCTACGCAGCCAGCTGCAGAGTCAAGCGTGTTACCCAGAAGGAGGAACTGGAGAAGCAGAAGGCAGAGCTGCAGCAAGAAGTGGAGAAGCTGGCCTCTGAGAACGCCAGCATGAAAATGGAACTCGATGCTCTCCGCTCCAAATACGAGGCTCTCCAGAACTTCGCCAGAACCGTGGCCCGGAGCCCCGTGACCCCTGCGCGAGGGCCTCTCACCTCCAGTATGGGGCCCCTCGTCCCTGGCAAGGTTGCTACTACCAGTGTCATCACAATAGTGAAATCCAAAACGGACGCCCGGTCTTAGTGAAGCGAGTGCTGCCTGAGCTTGTCTGTGCAGGGCAATTAGGCACAAAACCAGCCTGGAATCCCCAAAGCACAAACCCTCTCCACATGGGTCCAGGTTCCTTCGACTTGGCCCAGGACTGGCCCGCTGATAGCTCCAGTTTATTTTGTTGTGTCCAGATTGGTATGAGCAGTGGTGACGCGTCCCTTGTCCTGTGCAGACAGAGCCTTCCACCCAGCCGTCTGTAGCCCTCGGGTGCCCTGGGGATGGACTGTGAGAATTTGGTTTTCTGCCCAAAGAAAGTCTGTGCAGCATGGCTGATGGAAGGGCGGGGGAGTGGCCCAAGGGAGGCTTTCTTCCTGGGGGCTGGGAACCCTAATTTTGGTCACTTCCAAAGGCTTTATTTAATGACTATTCTGGGTGGTGCATCTCGGCACATGAACCTGCTGCTTTTGTCTCCTTTGGTACCCGTAGTTGCAGTCGGGATGTTCTGTGTCGTAGGTTTTTATTCCTTTCTAGGTGTGCCTCTGTGCCCTAACCGTGGGTTTCCCTCAGATGTCCGTGGCATTAGCTGTGTAAACTGGCAGTGGTGGGAAGGATGACACTGCCGTGCTCTGCGGCTGCAGCCCCAGCACCAGGGCCCTGCAGGGCCCCGCACCCTGGGGAGGGAGGGAGGGACGGTACCGTGTGGACTGCAGGCCGGTTTTGTGCCTAATGTGTTGCACTGAACAAGACCAAAATCACTAGTTGTTCCCATGTTTTGAGGGTATCAAGTGTCTCTAGTGTGATGGTTTACACAACCAGTTTATGTGGTTAAATAGCCCTTTATTTAAAGAGAGAAACATCATTTTAAGAGTTATTAAATTATCTAAGTTTAAAATTGGACAGAAGAGAGAGCGTATTTATAGTCAGCTTTTTTTACCTGAGAAGGAGAGAATATTTGACCATATGAATGGGGAAATATTCTCGGAGACTTTGCTAGTTAAAAGTTAATAAATAAATAATTTTAAAGTTTCTCATGAACCTCCCGCAAACTGTTTGTGGCTCTGAGGTTAGTTTTTATAAAGAGTTCTCAGACTTTATTTATAAAACTTAGAAAAAGACAAAAAAAGAGGCAAGTCCTGTTTGATATCTTTTTGCAATTGTACCAAAAGTGACTTATTCTTGACCTTGCTGGCTTCTGTCATGTCCCCTCATGTTGGGTGCTCTGCTCCCTGAGCTCTCTGCAGCACTGTGCTGGTGCCAGTGCCTTTGCCATGTGCTGTCATTTCACACTGTCGTTGTTTTCCCTAAACTCGACTGAGAGATTGAGTTGGAATCTCTCTGAATTCTCCAGAAGAATTCTGGTGCGCAGGCAAAGGTGCTGCTGGTTTTGAAAGCAAGACTGGCTGGCTGGTGCAGTGATGCCTTCCCAGATGTGTGCAGTGGGAGCATGGGCAGCTCCTGCTGAGCAGCCGACGGCAGATAACTTGGTTACCTGGATAGGAAAACACTGCACTGTCCTTCCTGCAGCAAAGCTGTCAGAGAAGTAACATGAGGGAGGCTTGTCTAGGTTTAGAAGACTGATGAGATTTATCTCTGGAATTAGATCCTGTGGTCAGAACTTGTGTTGCTCTCATGGCTCCCTTGAACAAGGGGGGCATGTCTGCCCACTGGGCAGCACGGGACCGGCTGGTCCCTGGTGTCTGTGCGTTGCTGGCCAGTGAGCTGTGGCAGGGTCACTGTCCTTCCTGGGGCAGCTTCCACCTGGGGGTTGGGAGAGTGCTCAGACTCACAGCTGTGACATGGTTGAGAAGCTGTTTGTGGTGAGGCTCCATTTCCACAAACACTTTGACCCCCTTCTCCCCTTCCCAAAGATTTGAGCTGATTTACTGAGTTTTAGAGAAACAGGACATGAGGGTGAAGCCCATGTGATCTCCTGGCTGCTGAGGGTCATCTGAGGGGAGGGGACAGACTGGGATGGCACAACTGAAGCTGCAGACTCACGGGGAGGCACAGCCATATTGGGTGGGTTTTGGGGATGTTTCTCATGTTGCTGAACTGATACTGCTGTCCCCTGGGCTGAGGAGCAGATCAGCCTGAGAAAAGCTGCAGTGTGGCAAGAGGAGCAGGTAGTTGCTGGGGATTTCCTGCTGGAGGAGGAGATCAGCTTTGCTCTGAATGAGTGGGAGTTTAGGGAGTTGTTTGGGATTCTTTTCCCAGTGAACTTCCCGAATGGGGAGCAGGTTAGAACATTGCCTCCAGACTTCCCCCTTCCAGCCCTGGACTTTCTTTTCTCTGAGCTGAAGTATCTGACATGCCACTTCCAGCTGCACCACATGGGCCATGCACTGTGCAGCGCTCAGCATGGAGCTTTGGGCTCTGGCCTTTGTCTTCCAGCTGGTGGTGTGGTGCCTGGAGGAAGTGAGATTTTCCAAAACACAGTTTTGGAAAAAAATAGTCCTGGGTTGTCAGTCCCAACCCTGTCCCGCCTGGACCTGGCCTGAGACTGAATTGGCCAGAGCGCTTCAGAACCCAGCTGAGGCCTGAGCTGGCTGGGCCGGGTGAGCAGCAAAGGTGTGTGTGGGGCTGGTTCAGAGCTGAGCTCCACAGCTGGAGCCTCTGGTTTGAGGAGGGCCCCATTGACACAGCAGGTGACGATGGGCAGCCCTAGGCCATGGAGGGCTTGCTCCCTTTGTGCTCTGTGGCAGGGAGCGTGTCCGGTCCTTCCCTGCGGTGCTGCTCTGCTGTGAGGCAGGATAGGGCCGGCAGCAGCACTGACTGCACCAGATGTTAATGCTCTTGTTCCTTCTGCCTGCACTGTCCTTGCTTGCTTGGAGCCCCAGCCTGCTCCAAGTGGGCCTGTGTGTTCGATGAGGACTTGCCATGTGGGGAGGAGCGGGTGAAGGCCATGGCTGAAGGGTGTGGATGTGGTAAACAAGCTCTGTGGTGCTGGGCTGGATATCAGCGAGTCTGCGGTCCCATCCGAGTGCTGCTTCCCTATGGTTTTGCTTTTGATCTCAGTGAAGTGTAAGACCCCGAGTGTTGTATTTCTGCAGTGTCCAAGAAGTCTCCAGTCCCCTGCCAGCTGGCTTCCCGTGCCCGTGCGAGGTGGCCCTTGCCCAAGCTGTCATGCTGACTTCTCTCGTATATAGTGTTCTGGAGTGTGACAATTCTTGTTCCTGAGGTGCTCGTCCGTTTGGTTTCCTGCTGTGAAGGCTGTCGTGTTTTCTTTCTTTTCCTGGTGCTGTTCCGGGGGGTTGGGGAAGGGTCCTGGTCCTGCCCCAGCCTGCCCGGGGAGCGTCCCCGGCACCCCCGGGATTTGTGTATCTTGTGAATTGTGTACAGTCGCTCCCGGACGGAGCCGG